AAGTTCAGCCTAATCTAAAGTGCATTTTATTCACAAATTCTGCACAATTTTCTAGCGCGTCACATTGTCAAGTTGTAGGGATATTCAGACGAAAGCTAAATCACGACATTTGAAATCAACAATAAAACACAACTGTACAGTAGCGGTGGGCATTAGATCACCAAACGGCTTCATAAAGCAATTATCAAAAACAAATGAACTGTCTTAGTTTTTTTTAAAATAGATTGAAAAAAGTATAATGTTTTCGCTAAATTTAATGAAAACTAGTGACAAAGAATACGTCACTGATTTTAAAAACAAGTGATTTCAGTAACTGATTTTTTTTTATTATGGTGAGTTTCTAGGCAAGGTAATTTTGCGGAAGTGTAACAGTTTCTTCCGAAACGAAAATATTGAGTAACTACATTACCTATTACAAGCCAAGTTAACTGAGGACTGACTTTACGAAATAAAAACATGTATCGAATAATTATAATGAATAATAATAAATAGGTATAACTTATTTCGATTGTTTTAATCATACGCAATTATATTAAATATTTATATTTATATTTTTAGTTATTTTTTTGAAAAGTGGAAAAGGGTGTAGCAGGAGGCCCGTGGCTAAGCCATCAAATAAGAGCTAGTGCTGTGCCAAGTTGGTCTCGAATATTTTGTAACAACACGATTTTTTTTTCATAATAACTATAATATAATTATAGTATAAAAAGTTAGGATTCTTTTTATTCCTAACCGATATGAACCAATATCTAAAATAAAACATTTGAAAAGCTTTTTTATAAGTACATAGTAAAGGTAAATACGGTCAATATACTTTTCTTCGTTGTTGACTTCTGCGTGAGTATCTTTGTCCTAGCAAGTTTCAGGCCTCGGGGTGACCCCTATAATCCTGGTTCTCCTCACGGTCTAATACTGTGAACCGGTCGTGGGAGCTGTAATCGGCATTATTAATCTTCTTGGCATATTTCCCGCCCTAGGAAAGGATTTACCTAAGACTGATATAATAACGAGACAAATCTCGACGTAGAGCCAAGTTTATCATTCAGACAGGTGTTAGCCTACTCCTAGTTATTAGCTGAAATACAGCTATGAGGTTGCGTTGCATATTACTTCATGCTTGGAACAAATTAGCCCGCGGGAGGGGAATCGAAGCGATCTCAAATCCTAACGGAGACGAAAGTCAATATACGGCCGAGTATGTACGCTCCGACACGAAGCGTACACCCACTGCTAAGCGACGCACCGCACCCTCAGGTGATCGACGTTTAACTCTAAGAACTGACCCTATACTTTTCTAATTTAAGATTTCAGAAAAGCCGTGAGTTGGTAAATAAATGGGTGGTAACAATAAAAATATAACAATAATTTTTGATAAATATTTAGTGAAAGGGCTCTTATTCAATTATAATTTGTATTAAACGTTTCTGTCAACACATTTCCTTATCATATAGTTAGTGGAAAATGGTTATTGGACAAATTTTCTAGAAGTATTTGTTTTGATTATTATTCTTATTATTTGTATAGTAATTTAACCTACCAGTAAATAAATTGACTTTTGTGTTTAATTAATAAACATACTTTTATAAATTCGTATCTGTTTTATTGCTCTGCTAAAACTTACTTTATAATTACTGACCTACCTAATATTTACAGATACTTATACCCTAATTAAATGAATTACATAATAACAGTAACGCATAGGTGTCAATCTTGGCGCATCACTATTCAACCGCTCTGACTATGTATCAGTATCTGTAGAATATCTAGATACGCTTGGCATAATGCCAGGCCTCTGTCACTCTTGCTCCCTGCGTGAAATAATTACCTGAAATCGCGATTCACCCAGGGTGTAATACGCAATCGGGGCTAGCGCGTTCTAGGCGTTTTTAACTAGGTATTTTTAACGCTGTTTACGTAAATAGTTTTTTGTAAACACTTGTTGTATTTTTTTATTATTATTTTGTATTATTTAGTGTTTAGTATTTAATTGTAGGATAAAATAGTTCAAATTTTTTTCATGTAATTTAAAAATAATATATGTATATATATATGTATTTGATAAATAATAACTTCGAACCTACTATAATTGTTGCATGGATGGATGCATAATGAGCAAAGAAAAGGATTCAAATGTATCATTTGTCAAGTTACCTAAGTATAATGAAAGGTATATTTATTTCATTTCATTTTTCTGTTAAATTACTTATAGCAAAAAAGAATTACGTAATAATTTAAATACAGAAGTAATACCTAAATACTTTATTACAAAACTTAGTTGAAATTTACGTAGGTAACTTACGAAATTTACGTAGGTAAATTGAAGTAGGTAACTTACATGTCTTTGGTAATTAAAATATTTTAAATTATCACAAAGCACTGAAATTAAAACTTTGTTTACGAGATTTTTAACTAATTAGTATACAATCACATTTCATTTAGGAAATGTAGAATCGTATTTCAGCTGTACGGCGAATGGTCTAATAATTCTATGTTTTCTTGCTCTAAAAACTCTTTTGTTCTGTGTGCTGTTGTGTTGTGTGTTGAGAATTCGCATTGTCGTGATGGAGGATGATGCGGCGGTTGCAGTTCTCTTTACGGAGTTCAGAAACGACCTGTGGCAAACAAATGCTAGCATACCATTCTGCACTAACCGTTCTTTGTCCCTCAAGAGGAATAGTCGTAACATGGCTGGTTTTGGAGACAAACGTGGCCACCATTTTTTTTAAACACTCCGTGAACGAACCATTTTTTTGGCTTTAACTCATTTTCGAACACCCAAACTCGTGACTGGTTTTTTGTTTCGGGTTCGTACATGTATATCCAGGATTCGTCACCTGATACGATGTTGTATACAACATTTGAGGATCCTGCGTGTAATCTTTCGAAAGTTCTGACGCTCCAAGTAACGCGAGCCACTTTTTGCTCTTCACAGAGCGAATGCGGTATCCATCGGGAAAACAACTTTTTTACACCTAATTGTTCATGCAAGAATATTTGTATTTGACTCATGCTAATATCTAAAGTTGCCTGAATTTCGCGGTATGTCACATGTCGATCTTCCTCAATCAGCTTACGCACAGCATCAACGTTTTCTTGGGTGACTGCAGTTTTTGGACGAACTTGACGGGGGTCATCACTGAGCTTGACACGTCCACTTTGAAATTCAGCAAACCAGCGATAAATTGTGGTTTTGGATGGGGCTTCATCACCAAATGCAGAAATCATCCGGTCAACACACTGTTTTTGTGTTAAACCACTTCGAAAGTCATAATAAATCATCGCTCTTGAATTTTCTCGAGTCAATTCCATTTTCTCAACGACTAAACAAGTTTGACAAAACCTTGTGACAAGACCGAGAATCTTTTTTAAAATATATAAATGGTATTCGATTTTTAAAACCAAGGAGTTTTAAATTAAAAATATTATAATATGACAGGAACAGTGGAAATATTCCATTCGCGATACTTTTAGTGCAGCCTAGTAGGTACCTACTTACATGTGTTTTTAATATATTCTTGACAGCTCTAAGTAACCACGGAATAACAGCTGTGATATGGGAATGGGAAAAGATGCGAAGTAATACGGACACTCGTGCGCAGTGATAAAGGTTTATTTAGTTTGCGTGTGCAATTTATCTTATTAATAATAATTATGTAGGCTATTAAACGTCGGCAAGCAGTCAACATCAAAGAGTGAAACTTCTGTACGTAGTATTATTATTAATTCTGTGATAATGGGCAATAAGCGATACGCGCGCTCAATAGCTTGCTTATTTATTCTATAAAGATATGATGCACAAAAACAAACGGAGTATTGCAATTGCTATTTTTGCGCACAGGTATCATAAACTATTTTTGAACGTTTATTGTCATAAATGTGCCATATTGTTTTTATAAAATTAGGATGACAAACGAGCACACAGTGTACCTGAATGTAAGTGGATGCTCTAGCCCACAGCTTACACCTGCGTATAGACGACCTGACAGCGAGAAAATTTCCATTGTTGCGCTAGCTATAGTCTGTGTCAAATCGATTGAGAAAAACGGACAATGACCTCAGATATGAGCCGAGTTTCAAAAGGCGTAACTTACAAAATCTCAATTTAGATGTGATAACAATATTTAAATATTAATATTATTCACACTTCTAGGTCAGTACATATGTTTTGTTTATTTGTTTCTTAAATAATATTGTCTGTGGTTCCTACAAACATCGTAAAATTTAACGGTAGGGTAAAACCACGAGTAACTGGCCACTTAAGCACTTTCACTAAGTCAGACTTTAATTATGTCAAAATAAGTTATTATATTAGAATTATTGCAATGCCACTAAATAATATGCACATTATTTTATATAATTCGGGGTTTTAAAAGTAAAACAAAACAATATTTTGTATCAAATTTTAATAAAATCGAAAAAACATCACTTTTGCTAGTTACTAGCCACTAATTTTAGAAACTGGGCGTCATTAAACTATTAATTGGCCACATGAAATAAGCCTCTGTTTCATCCTACTACATACAAAGGAATATAAAAAAATAAAATTTAAACAAAACATTCATTATGTTAGACAATAAATCAAAATTTTACCCGTAACATTAATATGAGATCAGAAATAATACGACATAGGAACTTTCTTAATTCACACGAACAACAAATCAATAAGTCTAAGATTAATATAGTTTTATAGCATAAAGTATGAACCGAAGCCTTGTTTTCGTGCTTCTTCACAAGCAAAGCTAAACATGGCATTACAATCACCGGCAGATGAGTCAGTATTACTCTCTCGATAGCACGTGTGGCACAAAAATGATCCTCATCTTCCACAGGTACATGGAGTGTGTGATATGACGGAATACAATTTAAATGAAACCGTTTTTTACACTGGTTACATTCAATAACCCTATGTGTAATGAGATTCGAACAAAAATCGCAAAAAACTTTTTGATCATTAACCTCATATGTATTTTCAGTATTTTCTTTGCATATATCTTCTTCAATTATCTTTGTTTTGCTTTTTCCATCACTTTTTTTCTTGATTTTCTCTTAGGTATACTGTTCTCTTTTTCCTTCTTCTTTTCTTCTCTTAGTCTCTTTCTTTCCTCTTTTGCAGCTTCTTCATCAATCTTTTTTAACTGTTTTGCTTTTATTCTTTCCACATAATGGTCTGAAGTTAAAGCAAATGGCAGTCTTTCTATTTGGCGCTTTTACTTGTCGTTTAGATGATAATGGAAAGTTTTGTTTCAAGTATTCAGTTAGAGATACGTTAGAAATTATGGAAACCGTCGAATATGTGACTTGTTTTGACGTGCTAGGCTGCGGAGTGGGACTACGTTCTATTAAAGTATTCTGAAGTGTCGGCTCACTATATACTTCTTTATTTTCATCTTCTCTTTCTTCGGTTTTATTTATTAACTCACCTGTAAATTCATCAAGAATCATCCTAGGGGTTTCGTCATCTTCTATAATATCAGTCACATAATTGTCTTCTACGATTTCGAAAGGGCCACGGTCCACGTCATTATTAATTCTATAATTATTATTGTTTTCCGATGCAGCCTCAAATGTTTGCCATAAATTGTAAATTGCAAAAAAGTTATCATCTGACTCTAAAATGGACGAGACTGTTCCACATTTTTCAAGAATTGATTCACCCACAATGTTACAAAACTCTGAATAGGTCAACACATTCATATTATGCTCAACATTTTTTTTGACGTGGATGTATCATTGGGTTGGTTTACCCATGCAATGAAATTGCTAAAATCGACATTATTTGGTTCAAATGGACATAAACCAGATACTCTGAATCCATTTATTAATGTCTCTTTTTTAGAACACGAGTCTACAACTGTTTTTAACAGTGGAGCAAAGGTTTCTTTGGTCGGACTCTTTTGGTAATTATTCGCAGCGTACCAATTGCGCAGTACCTTCTTCCAAGCAACCTTTATTGGGCGAAAAGCTGCAACATCTGCTGGTTGTAGTATACGAGTTGCGTTTGGATAAAGCGCTATTAGATGTATTTGAAGACGGCGACATAGTTCTGATATTTCTATGGTTATATGTTTGCCTTATTATTTTCCAGTTAGAGATATAACCATAAAAAACTGCTGCAGTCATCCAACCTGTGTCGCTCCACCCTATTCCCCAACCAGATGGCACACTCAACGAAACTCGGTCAGGTATCCGTTTATAAGGATAAATAATCATTGGCCTAAAGACGTGTCCAGCAGCAGAAAACGTAAATAAAACTGTAATGTTTTCTTTAGAAGATCCTTTTTCTATCTGGTACACATTTTTGCCCCTTTCTCAGCCAATACTTTGCCTGTTTTCGGGCAAATATTGAATCCAGTTTCATCGGCATTGGATACTCTTATGGGATCTTGAATGACGTCATTTAGTTCTTCCTCGTCAAAATACTGCTTTATTTCCTGAAACCATTTCCTAATATCCTATTCAAAAACACAAGCGCTTGCATTGGTAATTGGTTCGAATAGAAATATTAGGGTGTCTTTTCAGGAAAGCCTTAAACCACACATCTCCCGGTTTGTTGTCTCGGAAAGGGTTGGGTCTCGGATTTTGTTGCAAAAAATTCTGGACACATAATTGGATATCCTCTTTCTTTCTTGGGAAGCCACGTGAAACTGAAGTGTAGAGACAGATCAAGATTGGTGTATTTTTATAAAACTGCTAAAAACAACAATCTATATTTTTATCAATTTATATCTTGGGCTTGCCCTAGTTTGGAGCTTTAGCTTCGCCACTGGCCAGTACGCTGTCATATCTCTTGAAGACTGCAATTTCATTTCCCACCTAACAACCATGAGATTAAGTGTGATCCGAGAACTCTCTTGTTTTTCTGTGTCTGTTTCTGAGTAAAGAATTTTCTTGTGCTTATATCCTACGTGGGCCACAGTGGAACAAAATCGAGAAAATTGAGATACGGGTTACTATATCTCAGCCTTGCTGTTTTATTTTCATTTATTGTCACACAAAATATTATTGGGAAAAACACAGACTTTATGTTAATTTTCATTTTCAAAAGTTTTAAACACTTACCAGTGTCTGTTTGAAATTGTGGCTTAAAAATTCAACGTCCTTTACATAATAAAAATTATTTTCTTCAGTAACATTACACTTATATTTAAGCACAGGAGTAGCAATCCATAGGTAGTTAAGTTCTCGACTAAAACTGCGGGCAGAGAAAATGCTCAGGTTCTTGAACCACATAAATATTTCTTTTAAATGTATTTCATTGTAAAATTGATACAATAATTAATTTGTCTTTAACTTATGTATAGTCATTATTTCACTAAGGTAGTTTTTTTATTCCAAGCTATTCTATTATTCTTATGGTTAATGTAATAAAATACGAATATAAATAAAAATACAAGTAGGGTAGTAAAGAGAATTTAAATGAAAAATTTGAGTAGAAAGGTAAACATAAACCCGAGTAAAATAGACACTATTCTTCATTACTCAGAAGTGTTGGAGTCATTGCCACCTGTATGGCATTGACCACCTGAATTTATACTAAAATAGTATATTTGTTTTTGGTTCATCAAAATTTCATCTTGAGGTACTTTGCTGTCCTTCAGATGATGAAAAAACAATTTTTGTATACCACTTAGCACGGTCTACAAAAACAACCTTTTACTACGGCGTGGCGTTTCATTTTAAAATGCAAACAAAACCCAATTTTCTTGTGGGTGTATGCCACATGCGATGAACATTGTTATCGTGGCGGTATCATTGACAAGATGCGGCACCTGCAGAGGCGGCGCGATACAAAACCGACCGTATTTAAGCGAAGCGAAAGCGAAGGCTGTAAATTCTGTTTCTGTTGAAACTTCAAGTCACATTTTAGTGCATATTAGTCTATGATTTACTGGTTTATGAACGCATGATTCTTGTAAAACGGGCAAAAATTTGTTATGTTGGCTAATCTGAAGCGTCACGATCAGGACGACCAATCACAAAAATACTCAATTTTAAATTTGGTCTAGATGGGTGGGGATTCTGCTCTGCTGCCCGCCATATTGTGTTCGGCTGTAAGTGCTGAGAGTGAATAAATAATTGATTTGTTGTGTAAATTCTTTGTCTTCATTGTTCGGATTGAATATTTTATAGGTAAGGTCTAATTAATATAAGTCTTTGTCATAATTATCTTTTAGAATATCTATATTCACTATAATGACACCAAATGCCGGTTCTTTGAATCGATATAATGTCGTTGATTGTTACACTGAATGTCCGACACATTTTATAATTTTGTTAGGATTTATTTGTTAAGTGTTATGTATGTGTTTAAGTGATATGTGGTATTATAAAATATAAGAAATCGAAGGATTGTCTACTGAATTGTAGGTAGGATAAATTAATTAGTCTATTTTGTATCTCATTTCTATTCTTGGCGAACTTTTATTGTTAACTTTTACTTTTGCATAAAGATATTCCTATTCTGGGAAATCCAGTCTCGGTGCATTAGTACTTAAATAGCGTTAGTACCTACCTAAAGCCGATGAATCATCACTGTTACTTACACTGCGTATGAGAACTGTACTGAACACAAAGGTCGATATGTACACACCTAAAACAAATCAATTTGTACATTTGAATTTGTTTATAATCTCGTAAATACAACTTCTTTGTATTATTTAATTCTTACCAATATTATTTAATTTAAAAAATGTACTTCAAAACAATTATTTATGTATGTACGTTTGCTTGGTGTATAATATTCACATTTTCTTAAAATAAATTCTGAACTTTTTAAAAATATATTTTAGCATAATATCTTAAGCTCAAAGTTAAGTATTATTTTATAATTTGTCAATAAAAGAAACAGGCATGTTAAAGATTTTCAGGAACTGCCACCGCCCTTGGTACTTACTTACGTTGGTTATATTATTAATTACCTCAATTCAAAGAAAAATTGTTAGTCATAAGTAAAGAGAGAGTTCGTGCCTTTCTTTTCTTTATTAAAAAAAAGACTGTTAAAAAGACTAGTAGTAAAAATTTAAAGAAAATTTAATCTCAATTCATGTTTGTTACCATTTCTTATATTAATATTCTGTTTTATAATTCTGTAATATTCTGTATTAAAATTCAGTTATATTGCATATAAATGTTTATCAATCAAAACATTAATTTAACAACTATAACTAGATAGAGCAATGGTAGCTCAGTGGCACTTGCTTTGAATATCACAGTATGTGAGCATCCCCAGTTTGAAGGCTGGCACACTTAAAATTGTTAGTTGCAATTTTAATTGCTGCTTAACCATATGATCTGTGGTGAAGGAAAACATTATGAGGACTGAGAAAACCGGCATCTCTATAAAATAAAAATAAATTGAAGACATCAAAAATGTGTGAAGTTCACTCATAGGCATTGGGGTATCATGGTGAACATTTCCTTGCCCTAAAACTCACTCAGAAAGTTCAGCAGTGTGACATAAAGCTTTACAAAAACTTGATGACTAGTAGTAAAAAAGTTAAAAAAAAACTTACAAACAGAATGGTACTATAGCTATATAAATAATACAATAAAAATGCTATATGATCATACTAAATCTCTTAAAATTAAAACACATTAATTTATATTCCTATAAATTAATTATCATTAATTTTTACTCCTATAAATTAATTATATTCCTATAAATTATACATAATATGTATTAGCTTATTGAAAATTTACTTATTGTACCACTCTTAAAACATATCCTGTAATGTGTATATTAGTATACTACCATTTTAGTATACTAGTATTCATAATTTAACCCACATTATGATAAACTAAATCTTACGGACTATGAATGCACCAGCATTACAATGATGTTAATTGAAGACCATTTAAAACTAATTTACCTTCCTATGAAATGTGAGGATTGTAAAATCATAGGGGCCAATTATTAGTTTTATTGGTTATTGTGTACATATTAAATGTAATATGAAATGTCATAGTGATTCTGTGTCAGTGTAGCCAGAGCAAACTAGCCCTGTGTCTTTGGAATATTGGCCTTTCAATTACCATAACTTGAAAAAACATAATGAGACAAGTATGTGTAATTGATACTATTTATTATAAAAATCATGTAATAATATCACTTAAATCAATATTTTTAACCAAATAGATCTCTACTTGAAATAAATATCTCTATTTTATTGTTTTTTTTTTTTGGTTCTCATGCTCTGCATTCTTTGGTACAGGGCTTCCATCATGTGATTGAATTATTTTTAAATTTGTAAAACCCTAATTATTATTATATATATATATATATATATATATATATAAATATATATATAATTAAATATATACCATAAATATATTATATAGATTATAAATATATACCAGAAAATTACGGATGCTGCTATGTTAATGAATATACTGCTATAGGCTGTAGTTTTTAGTAATATTTGCCCAATTGTCACTGCATGGCACAACTGTTTTGTGCTCAATGCCAAATTTTCCAGTTTAATGAATTTTATACTGTTATTGCTCATGAAGTAAGAAAATTGTGGAGAGACAGTGGAGTTTTAGCTGATATAAATCATAACATCTCCATGCCTCTGTGCTAGATTTGAAAAGAAATTTTAAAAGGATTTCTTCATGCATCACAATGGGCTATATTCAACAGTGGATTTTATGGTTAGGGGTGAGTTAAAAGTTACGAAAACATATACACCAGAACC